TGAATTACACCACCTGAAAGCAGAATTTATCTTCAAGAAAGCTAATGTTAATTTAGCTTACAGGATTTTCTCAGGAATAAACTAAGGCCTGGTTGTAGGAATTATCTGTGTTATCATTTTGACTTAATTTTCTCTTTTATAAGTGCCTCTAATAACAATAAACCTTTCAAAAATGGATGTGTGAATTAAGCAGATGTTGTGAAAGAAGCTAAACTGTTTTAAATGCTTTGCAACTATGTAAAATAATGTATTCTTTATTTTACAGTATTACCCATTCATACATTCTTATAAGCTATTAAAATTACATGCCAGAATAGGATGTATTCCATTAGTGACAAAATGGTATAATACTTTAAATTTATATAGTTTCATCCACTCAAAAAATCCTTACTTTGCTCAGTCCTTCAGCAACTGAAAAATTGATTGTGGCACATATTTATTTAATCACCCTCTACTGCACACACAGATTCAAACCATATTAATTTACCTTTCCTTGCTATTCAAAGTGTCATCAATAATCTGCAGTGATTTAAAATGAGAGGACAGTCTTTTAACTAAAACAATACTGAGAACCATGATTTGTATCTTAATTTTTCCTCTGTCACTGATTTTTCTAGTAAATCACTAAAAAGTTTCAGTATCCCAGGAAGGAACATTTTCCTCTCCAGCAGGAAGTTAAGAATTAATATTTGAAAAACAGGTTGAGGTCCCTGTGTTGAAGGCAATGGGACAGTGAGGGAGAAGAGCCAGGAGGGAAGGCAAACCCAGCCCGGGGAGATCTCCACTGCCTCACTTCGTGTGTGAGCACCAAGCAAGGATGAGCTGACCCCAGCACACCTGTTTGTCACTGACCAAGATGTACCCAGCCTTGAATGGCCAGATCCAAAAAAAAGAGGTCGCAAGTCCAAAAATGGGATGTGAAGGCATTTGGAACAATTTACAGGGTTGTTGCAGCACTGGAGCATTGGACCAGTAGATGTTTAGGGTGCCTAAACTGCAGATGCAGAAGGGGAAAGGTCAAATATTTTATCAGTGGTGCTTTAGTGACAACACATAGATGCTGGTGTCTTCACCCGTGTCTGTGAGACCTGGAAGTGACCAGAGCCCAAGCCTTAACTGCATGTACAAAAGAGCACTTTTGATGGCAAATCCTAGTAGAATGAATGCAGCTGGCTGCAGGCTACACAGAGGGTCTGGTGCCAGTACCGGGGAACTGGGTAGCCTGGCCTTTCTGCCCTTTCTGCCCTTCACTAACCTCTTGCTTTTAGACACAACTAAACTTCTGTCATTATGGAAATAAAAATATCAAACTGGAAATGAGAAGTTATGTATTTCCTGGTTTTACTGAGGTTTATAGTGGGGTGAAAGTAGTTTAAGGAGTGATTTGTACTTCTATGAAACCAGTACTATGGCCAAGGGTGGGGTGAAACACCATTTATCGTGCTGAGTAGCCCTGTCTTGTCAGTACCAGTGTGATGGCATATGAAACAATCTGTGTAAAAGTGTAAGAGCCTGGCTTCTGATGACAAGCCGACAAATACAATATAGAGAGACTAGGATAGACTAGTCTTCATAGTACTTCATAGCATATGAAGTACTAAAATGATTATTTCTAATAGAAGAGGAAAATGATGGATTCCATGGGAAGAATATCTTTTCAATACCAATTCTTTTCTCTTTCATTCCCATGCTTCCTTGCAGTTTTTTCCTCTCAATTTAAGGCATGACATGAGCTGCACATAACAGAAACAGGAAAGTTAAACAGGAAATGCCTAATCAGATCCCTGGCCTAAATGTGACTTACTGTAAAAATGTGATACGCACCCAAGAATATCCTCTGGAGTTTTCCATTTGCTTTAAAATGAATAATCCACAGTTTACAAAAAAGTCAGCAGTGATAACATAGGACTGAATCCTCATCTCCTTGCTCTTTGAATTTCTTTTCATCTATTTTGCATAAAAATCAATGGATACTACTTTGTGCCTCTTGTATCTCTGTTTACCCATTGGAAGTGAGCTTAAATATGAATTCCAAAGGAAAAATTCAGTCATATTAATTTCATGATTGTTATGCCCAAAACAGCCTCCAACCATCACATCACCCACATGGCCTTCTCTGTTCACAAACAACAGGTCCAGTGGGTCGCCTTCCCTAGTTGACTCCCTCACCAACTGTGTCAGGAAGTTATCTTCCACTTACTCCAGGATCTACTGGATTGTTTCCTCTTGGCTGTATTGCATTTCAAGCAGACGTCTGGTAAGTTGAAGTCCCCCACAATAACAAGGGCTAGCAATTGTGAGACTTCTCCTAGCTGCTTATAGAATATTTCTTCTGCCTCTTCATCCTGGTTGGGTGGTCTATAACAGGTTTCCACCATGATATCTGCCTTGTTGGCCTTCCCCCGATCCTTGCCTATAAACATTCAACCCTATCATTACCATTGTCAAGCTCTAGACAGTCAAAACTGATCCATGATCAAAAAACCCAAAATTCTGCTGATGGCATCAGCCTCAAAGCCAGGTATTGATCTGCTGGCTCTATCTCTTTCTTCCATCATCATTCCTTGCAACTGGCAGGACAGAGGACACTAACTGTGCTCCTGATCCTGTAACCAGCAGTTCCAAGGCCCTGAAGTCTCTCTTGGTTATCCTGTTTCTCATTGACATTAAACTGCATAGGTAGTCAAAATACTTAAAATATTCCACTCCTGCAAGAGAAATCTGAATAGCAAATATGTCCATACAAATGAGCTGTTCATCCAGAAGAGATTAAAATCCTTGAGCATCAAGAACAATTAAACTCAGCAGGAGATGAAAACACAGAATGACGTCATGGGGATTGGACTAGATGTTCTTTAAAGGTTCCTTCCAACCCAATACATTCTATGATTCTATGATTATAGTTAAATGTATGGATTATTCTTCCTTTAAAAGTCAGTATATGAAGGAACATAAAATTGTGAGGTTGTGTTGGCTGGATATTACATGACCAATGTATGAATCATAATCAAAAGTACCAGCTGCAACATCATGTATTGTAGTGCAAAGATCACCGGGACAATCAATAGAAATCAGCAGAGAGGCAGAACTGGCCATCTGGGGAACACCATTGGCCTCTGTTGGAACACATGGTGTGCAAATAGGTTTCTTTAGGGTGAGAGTCTGTATTTTTACTAATTTTAAGCTATTTGTTTTGGAACCAAAGTGTGCAATTAAGATGTCTAGTTCAGCTGTTATCAACTATTTGGAAATGGAAATATAGTGGAATTCTGGCCAATAAACACAGTGGAATTAAAGGTTAGACTAAATTACAACACTTGGGAAAAGCAAATGTTTCCATGTTTCTTCTTACAAGAATCATGAAAGGAATATGCAGAAATGAACTCACTTTTCCTATTTAAGAAATGGCAAATTCCACCACTATTATTAAAGGATGCACAGAAATCCAGCCATAACTTGCTTCACCCTAAACTGCATAGCAGAAAGCACATAGAAATCTACATGTTATTTTGTGAAGTGAGAGCATGATCCAAAGTTTCCTGAATACAATTAAAAAATGTCTCATCAGCTTCAATAGATTTGTGATCAGGCTCCCACTTCTTTCACTTATGAAGAATTCATTTTTGTTTTTACAATATAGAGCAGAAACACTGGGAACAGATTTTGCTCTGAAAACGCCGTAGTGCATCAGACAGCTATGTGCATCTTTGGGAAGTTAAATTGACCATGATAATATGTCATTGAATCAGAAAAATGGGAGGATTTGTATCATGGTTGATAATGAGCTTCAAGGAGGTTAGTGTCTGTGCTCATTAAAAAATAGGGATTAAAGCAGTCCAATTAGTGCCCATACATGAGATTAAAAAGGCCATAGTCCAAAGATATAGCCGTAGAAATTGTAATAAAAGGTGTTTTGTTCTTGTTTAGAGATTCTTTCATGCATTTGTGAAACAACAGATAATTTATATTCCCCCTCTTTCAGAATTACAGACTTACCTATTTCTTTGAAAACTTGTTTCAATTGGCTTCAGATTGCTTTTTAGAGCAAAAATAAGCATCTGTAATTAAATTTCCATGTGCCAATAATGTCAGAATTAATTGCAGATTAATGCAATGGGATTGGAACTTTTTTGCAAGACAGCTTTTTGGGAATTCCTTTAAGGAAGAGAGTGCCTCCTGTGTGCAACAGAAAGTAGCAGGAAAAGTAAGTTGCTTTGCAGTGAGATGCTTTAGCCTTCTAAAAGGTAGGCATATTATCTAAGCACTTTTCTAGGCTAACAGAGATGGTGACTAATTCTATATAGCTCTACATAAAGAACTTATAGTAGCTTTGGAAGGTTTCCAGATATGCTGAAAATTGCAGCATTTCTGAGTTCTCTAAATTAATCTGTGTGAGGTAGAAGTGTCTGCCTTTTGTTTAAATTACCTTTCCTATTGTGACCATTAGCATATACATATAGTAAAGAAGCCCTTTGTCCCACTGTGATGATGTTCTAGGCAAGTTGGATTGACCATAGCAGAACATGCTTGGAAGCTGAAATTGCAAATGAGCAGCACATTCTTTTTTTTATTTTATGTTACTCTTTTATGAACTCATTTTTTGTAGGCATCAAGGAGCAAATAAGTGTTCAAGAAAGTTCTGAATCAACTGTGAGAGGTGTCTGGGTGAGAACAAAAGAAAAAAGCAGCTGAGCATCAGAACACACTTCTGGACAGCAAAGTCTATCAAAAAGTCTTTCAAAGCATTTGAAATTGAACTTAAGTTTTACAAGATAACAGTTTTGCATTTTTCTCTTTTTGCACTAGATATAATGTTAATAAAAGCAAATCAAACCAAAAGACACTCCTTTGTCACCCTATCTGCCTCTGGGGTGGCTGCTGCCCTTCTAACATGTCTTTTTTCGTTTTTGCTTCCAAGGACATATCACAACAATTTTCCAGAAAAAAAAAGTACCATGGATGTTTGGGTCAAATGGTTAGCAGTGATGGTGCTGCTTACTATGGTTGATGCTCAACTACTGAAGCCGGCACGGGCCCCTCTGGTTCTGCACAAGCCTTTCATGGTTGTTTGGAATGCACCAACTGAGCAGTGCAGGCTGCGGTACAAGGTGGACCTGGATCTCAGTGTTTTTGACATTGCATCCAACATCAATGAGACTTTGAGTGGATCCAATGTGACAATTTTCTATCACACTCATTTGGGATACTATCCCTACTACTCAGACAACGGAGACCCTGTCAATGGAGGAGTGCCCCAGAACGAAAGCCTGATCAAACACCTTAACAAAGCAAAGTCTGACATTGACTATTGCATACCCATGAAGAAATTTCAGGGACTTGCAGTCATTGACTGGGAAAACTGGAGACCTCAGTGGGATAGGAACTGGGGCAGTAAAAGTATTTATAGAAATAAATCTCTTGAGATGGTTAGGAGACAGCATCCTCAGTGGTCAGAGGACAAAATCAGGAAAGTGGCTAAAGAGGAATTTGAAAGTGCTGGCAAGAGTTTTATGAACAACACTATCCTTCTGGCTGAGCATATGAGACCAAACGGTTTGTGGGGTTACTATCTTTACCCAGACTGCTACAATTATGACTACAAAGAACACCCCCAGACATACACGGGGAAATGTCCACCCATTGAGTCTTCCCGCAATGACCTCCTGCTTTGGCTATGGAAGGAAAGCACTGCTCTCTACCCTTCAATATACCTGGATTATATACTGAAGTCAAGTCCAAATGCACTGAAGTTTGTTCACTATCGGGTGAAGGAGGCAATACGAGTTGCCTCAATTGCTAGAAAAGACTACATTTTGCCCGTTTATGTCTACTCCAGACCCTTTTATGCCTATACTTTTCATGTTTTAACAGAGGTAAGCAGACAGACTTCTTTAAAAATTTAGAAATTAGAAACAACCTTTTAGAAAAAGTACCTTCTAAAAGTTTTCCTCGTATAAAAGCATTTTGCATTTGTTTTTCATATTTAAGAAAGACCTTCTAAAAGGAAGTATTGTAGTCACAGTACAAAACTCTACACCTTTCAGTAGTTATTATTTCAGAGCTTTGGTCTACTTCTGTAGGATAACATTGTATATTTTTAATGAGGGTGATTTGGAAAAAAAGTGTAAAGAAATAATTTATTTAAGGAAGTAATTAATTCTGATGTTTTAATTCTTCAGGACAACTTGTGAAATGACCTTGACAAATTTTCATGAAGTTTAAAACTAATTAGTGTAATGGAAAGATAAACTTCCATGAGAAAGGAACTTTTCCATGAGAAACGGCTTTTCTTTTTTTTCCTTATCCCAGTGTTAATTCACTCAGCGTAAAAATAAATCAGTCAAGTACATTAGTCTAGTCTGGAGTTCCTAACTCCTGGTTGATAAGCATTGTCCATCTCACTTTTCAGAGGTATAACACATTCATGATACAACAACTAGTGCTAACACTGTACAGTCCTTTTAATATAGAAACCAAGTTTTTGATTTATGCAATGTTCCTTCAGCCAATGATCAGTGCAATAAATATGTGGTGGCCACAACATTGATGGTAAAAATATATGCATACAATTCCCAGTCTTTTAGGGTATATAATGACAGTCGTGGCTCTGACTGTTTATGTACATAATAGAGAGGCACAGATGCTTATTGATTTCTCTAGCAGTTGTTTCAAGTGCCAAAATTTTTGCTTTGATTGCTATCAATTAATTCCATGAGAGGGGAGAGGGAAGGAAATCTGGGGCAGGGAGCTCATGGAAACAACTCCTTGACAGCTAAGGGTGTCTGGAGATGCTCCCTCCCTTTGGTTTATGGACAACTGCATGAAATCTTGCTTCTGCTGCTGCCAGAGACAAGTTCTTGACTCAGAACAACAAAAGGGAGAGAAAGGGCAAGGGAAAAGGCAACAAACAGTCAGTCCAGCAGACCACAGGTTGCATGTGGCTTCGGCCTGGAGCTGGGGACCCGTGCTGAAGTCCTGACAGCCTGAGAAGTGTTTCAGTCTGTCCTCAGGAAGCAAGTAATACATAGGAGCAACCATGAATACGGCCTGCCTCACTGCTAGCAACCAAGGACTCTCTGAAGCTGTTTTCTGTGTGATGTGGAAACCGCAGGTCCCAGATGACTCAGAAATTGTGGGCAAATAGGCAAGCCTGGGTCTCACTGAAGGCAAGGAGCCACTGGGGTTGGTACAGGCAGAATTTAACCCAGAACACCTTCACTGGAGAACTCAGGCTGTGAAATAAATGAGCATTCTTCAAATGCAAAGTGTAATAATACATTTTAATAGTATAAATTAGTCCCTTGATCTATATAAAAATACTACAAATGTTACTGAGAACTATGAAAACTTACTATGCCGTTACCAGTTATGCACAAGTTCAAAATCTGTGCTGGTATGAAATTACTGTTTTACCTTAAGCTATTTTCTGAACAGTACAGTGTTAATTTGGAGTGATGTTCTCTTAAGTTACACTCTTTAACTCACTGGCCTGTTTCTCAATTGCATGTAGCCATTTACTTTTGGATGTTTTAAAGATCACTTTACACCTCTGCAACCAGGGAAGATCCCTCCATAGCCAGAGAAACATCTCTGGGTTATGCTCCACTGCGAATTTTCTAATGAGAGTACACAGCTCTGCAGGCAGCCTTAGGGACAGGGCTTGACATGTCCCCAGACTATACACGTCATCTGTGCGAACAGCTTGAGGACTGCTAGGAACAGGATTGCACTTATGAAAACTCTAAATAGGGATGATCAGGAAAATTATGTTCTTGTTTTCCTTCGTAGCTGAGAAGCCACCAAGATATTTAAATACGTTTTTGTGTATTCAGATATTAGGCCAGATTGGAGCTTCTCATTTGACCCATGACATGCCCCTAAGTGATGCTCACAAACCTAGACACAAGACAGGGAACATCTGAGCTCCAGCAACAATGTACATGAATGTGACAAGGAAAGGAGCCAGTGTAGTACAATGACATCCAGGCTACAAGGCCATAGAAAAGTTGGGATAGCAGGCATTAGCCTGGCAGACATTAGGTACCTGATCTCTGACAGGAACTGGGCCAGGAGAATTGCTGCCCTGCACCATCAAGTTCTGCAAGAGCAGACATAAATAATTGCTGACACATTCAGGCCTTGTGTGTAGGCCCTTCTGTACATAGTTTTAAAAACTCAGTAAATACCACAGTGAAAGAAACTAGAAAGAATGTTGTGAATCAGAGTCACTGAGGGAGAGACGCAAGTCTAGCAGACCTTCAGAAAGATGAAAGACCCAAGATGCTGTAGCTATGTCTGCTGTACCTTCATCCCAACTACACCTGGAAATCAGGTCAGTTGTGCAAAAAGTATTTGAAAAATTCACCCTACATTTTTTTTCTTGGACACAGTTTATAAATTCTGAATTGGGATTCCAATCATGAAAGGTTTCTGTATTTGCTAGAAATGTGTATAAGCAGTTTGCCATCTGTAGGGTATTTAGAAACTATCTGCCTTGACAATTCACTACTAACCGTGTGGGAGAGAGGAGTTACACAGTAGCATCTGTGCTTCCTGATTAGATGGCTGAAGTCATTAATAAAGCAGAATGACAATTAACAAATAATGAATAATGGATAGCTTCTCTCTTTCACCTGCAGCTAGTCTTCTCTGATGGCCAGGTGTGGGTGTGTACAAAGACCATTTCCTGCAACCATGCCAGGCTTGCTCGACCACTCCTGAATACAGAAAAAGCATTTCTGAAACTAAGACTGTTCGAAATATAAAGGAAAGTTTTTTCTTTCCTCAACAAGTAACTAGGACTGACTGTCCTGTTTCCTCTCAAGTTCCAAAACTGAAACAGCTTAACTCACCTCCTATGTTTTTAGTGTACATTTTTGCTGATCAAAAAATGGCGAAACACTGATAAGAACTAGACCCTCCTCCTCTCTGCCAAATCAGCTGTCTGCTCAGAGACAGACCAACATAATCATGAAACTTTTTGGTTGTTGCACGCTGTCTGAAAAAACTTGAATGAGAATGAGCATCAGAACGGAAGAGGCTTTGCTGACTTGTTTATCACTGGGAGAAATACCAGATGTCTAAGTGGCAGCTAACCCATTAAGTTGCCTCTTCAGGACAGTCCTCTAACATGGATGGATGAGGGTCTGGTACAAGTAGTAAAACAGGATTCCCTACCTAGAGAGATGCCAAGATGCTCATATTTAAAACGATATAAATTGATTAAATTTTCTAAACTTGCATGTTTTGTTCCGTACGAGAAACTTCCCACACTCACATGGAAGAGCCATGCCAGTGAGCCCTCACTAGTGCCAAGCTGTGCTGTGTGAGGAGTGGCACGAGGTTCAGACCCGAAACCAGAACTGCTGCGTCTGAGGCTGCGGGTGGAGCTTGTGTGCCTCACTCAGGTCTTCACAGAGGCACATCCTTATCTCTGCTCTTGATTTGGCACTCTTAGACATTATGAGAGGCATTTACCTTTCCTTTTCTCAAAATACCCAAATAGGGGGTGAAACTTTTATTTTCTATCTCTGTTTGTAGCAGAGGAGGGTGGTGTCTTCTTCTTTGTGTGACAGCCTGGTGGTCAGGGCACCCACCTCTGACTTTTGGCTCAGTTCTCTTCACAGCCTCCTGAGGATGAATCCAGCACCCTGTGTTAGACACCAGGAAAGAGCTAGGCAATCACCAGACCAAAAAGAACAAACACACAACAGAGTGAAAATAAGAGAGGGTGCAACCTCCTGTTCATAGGTCATTCAGGGAAGAGCCCTTCTGTGCTGTGACTTTTGAGGTACGGAACATGAGTCATTTTGTAAAAGATGTAACTATGCCTAGAAATAACAGTCAGAAACCTTACTTCTTTCCTTGTGAGCAAGTTGCCCAACTGTTAAGCTGAATTTATCATAAGCTGTAGTCAGGTTCCTACTTGTTTCTTTTGCTCTCCTTTGAACATTCATTGAACTGGTGCATAATGAAATGGCATCAGAAGGAGAAATGGCACTCCTCTAAACCTTGTCTATAACCTGATGGTGAAGGTAACACCCGCTGGAGGATTAGATGGAGGTGATGTGTCTTTTATGCATGAGGAAAGAGAGAAAAATTCAGCCTGTCTTTCTGATTCTGTTCCCTCCTGGGAATCACAGAATCACAGAATCACAGAAC